TTCAGATATCAATGGTGGTGGACATTTAAAATTTTTTTGATTATAGTATTAGTCTCCTCTGCCCAAAACAAAGATTTCATAGTTCTATTTCATTCCATGAGGAACAAGTTAAATTTGTGTGTTTTGATTTTCAATTTGCCATCGAAAGTAATTTTTTTAAAAAGGCAAATTGTTTACCAGATGGTATTTAAAAGATCCATCATGGGAACCACCACCTGTGGCTATGTTTTAGAACTTGCCAAACCTGTACAGTTCATCTGGGTTGGACAAGATGTTAATGACAAGGTGCTTAGTCATCCTCTAGGACATGGCCTCCTTGCTCCCAAAGATATGATGTTTTTAACAGATGCTCATATCCTGCACATGTACCCATCAAGATGAGGCTTTCTGTACTGAAATACTATTTTGTCTTAGAAGCAGAGAGGGTTACAGTTTATTACCCTCGGAGTAGGAAATTGAGGTAGTTAAAATGCTTTAGATAGTTTCCTTATCTAAGAGTATAAATCACTGGAAATGAAATAGGAGAGGAAATCATTAGAAATGAACAGCAATAATAACAGGATATATTATCACAATCCCACTTTCTAGACTGGCTAATGGCGTGGAGTATGCGTTACCAAATAGCATCCACACGACAACTTGCAGTCTTATAAATAAAGTTCTGTAAAGTAAAATAACAATGGTTTGTATCTTATTTCTTTCCTCATAGTATGAGAAATCCTTTTATTAAGAGCTGTAAATTAATCCTCTACAATTACTATTTTTTAAAAAAAATCAGAATGTTCACACTGAAAAATAAACTCAAAAGGTGAATAAAAGAAAGGCAAGAGATAAATATAAAAGCATGGGAAATTCAGATAGAAAAAACGAATGAATTAATGAATGAATGACTCAATGAATAACTAAATAAAGGAGACCAATTAAAAGCTTGCAAAAGTTCAGACCGAAAATGATATAGGCTTAAAACGAGATAGAAAAAGTTCGTTTTGGAAACAGCATTGAAAAAAGAAACAAGTCAACAGAACTCTATGAATTGTACATTAATTCTTAAAACTAAGCTAATTTTTAAAACTAAATACTAGGCCCACGCAGTTGAGAAACTGAAAATATAAGCAGTCCTTAATATTGCTTGGTTTGAAGCCCAATAATCTGGATGTTTCTACTATATTTATCGATGCTGCTACCTCCCTGCCTTGTCACGGGTACTCTTATACACCAGCCAATGAATGGACATTTTTTCTTGTTTATTTTATGTTGGAGCTGCCCATGAGCCAACAGTTTAATTTTTACAGCATCACCATCTTTGTCATTACCCTGGAAATTATTTGTTCACTTATCCAAAGGTTATTGCATATTTTCATTATTACAAAAAATGAATGAGGGGCCGGCCTGTGGCTCACTCGGGAGAGTGTGGTGCTGATAACACCAAGGCCCCGGGTTTGGATCCCATATAGGGATGGCCGGTTAGCTCACTAGCTGAGCGTGGTGCTGACAACACCAAGTCAAGGGTTAAGATCCCCTTACCGGTCATCTTTTAAAAAAAAAAAAATGAATGAGAAATGGAAAAATTAAAGCCTAATAGTAATTATGAGAAGTATTTGTCTCATAAGCTTAATATAAGTGAGACAAAGATGGAACTTATTAGACATACCAAAAAGTGGCAAATCTTTAGTCTGCATCAGACATTATTGAACTTGCATAGGTCGTCTGTGATTTAAACAAGGAAATAACCAAAATTATAGAAAGTTTAAAGAAAAATTTTAAAAAGGCATATACACTGAATGCTGTATCTAAGTGGCAAAGTATAATTTAGGATTGTACAATACACTTGGCTCTCTAGGGCCTGTATCTTTTATAACACGTAGGCTTTTGTACAATCTTTGGACCTATTTTCAGGAATGCATCCTTTCAAGAAAGTAGGAAAGACAGTATTGGACCAGTCACTATGTTTTGATCAAATAAAAAAACATGCAAAAGTGTTTTATAAACTGAAAAGCTAAGGGCAAAATTGGCTATTTTTATTGGCACTGGCATCTCATTACAGTGCTGTGACACCATTATTCCAAAAACCAAACCAAAATCCCAAAGGTAAAACAGCTCTTTGTCTTACTGTCTGCCAAGTTGTTGAACGTGTAACATTAATTCAGTGGCATTCAGTGTTTCAAAAGTCTTCTTAAAATTCTCCTCCAGGTTATTAACTTTATAGACTACGTCTAGCCAAATTGAAAAATCTCGGCTGGCTTCTCCACAACCCTCAATATGTATACAGTGACTGTTCCCAACACTTTGTGTGTTAAGAAACCATCAATTGTCATTCACTCAGTCATTCTTCTCCCACATTCTTCAGACATTTATTGTGTGACTAGTATGTGCCAGCACTTGTATAAGGGCTTACAACAGGAAGGATGAACACACCAATCAGTGGGGATAAACACTCAGGTAAGAAACACAGCTGATACAATGTGAAAGCTATATTAAGGCTATCCAAAAAGTAGAATGGGAATGCACATGCAATATCGCTAAGTTTATGTGACAGAATTAGGAAAAGTTTCAGAGGGAAAGTCTGATTCTGAACTGTATCTTGAAAAGATGTAAGAAAACCTGTACCTTGAAAGATGAAGGGTAGTAAGTAGTTGTTTACACAGAGAAGAGGGCAAAGACATATCCAGCAGAGGCAATAACATTCGTGGCTAGGTCAGGAAGAAGTGGAAGGGCCCAATAATAGCACATTTGGGGAACACTAAGAAGATCAAGATCAGCAGGGGCTGGAGGGCTGAGGAACGGAGAAGCAGAGAATCCAGAGAAGACAGTGAGAAGGTGGTCTTGGGCATCACGTTATAAGAGGTTAGACTTTATGCTGTCAGCCAGTGTTTCTCCAAATGTGGTCTGAGGTCACCTCTACCAGATTCACTTGGGGATCTGCTCAGAATGCTGATATCTGGCCCTTACATCTGGGATGAGGCCCTAGAATCTGCATTTTCAAGAAGCACCTGGGTGATGCTGATGTTTACCATCTGGGGATTTGCCAAGGATTTTTAAAGGGGAAAGCATGATCAGATTTATATTTTAAAAATCATGACAATCATGAGGAAAGTAAATCCACTGGTGCTAAATGAGTATGTAACTTAGCTTTACATTAGAATTACCTGGGGAACTTACAAAAATGCAGACTTTTCACACCTCATCTAAGACACTGCAGCTGAATCAAGGTGGATGAGGCTAGGATTTATATTAGATTGAACCATATGAAATCACCATTTTATTTAGGTTAAAAGTGGTCAAATATCCAGCAATTTCTCATAGTTCAATCTGATATTTTTATCAAGTTCCCCCCCCCCATGCTTCTGATGTATACAAAGGCTTGAGAAAAGCTGATAAAAAAAAAACAAGCATAGCTAAATGGTGTTTCCCTTTTTATTAATTATTGATGTCATTAGTCACTTTCATTAACATGCAAAGATGGAAGTGACATAACCTATGTACCTAAAACAAATGTTAAAAGAAAAAAATGGGTTCAAAAACAGCAAATAATGAAGTAAGGCATCTAATTTCAGGATTTTAGAGCCAGAAGGAACACTGGAGATTATTCAACTCTTTCCCCACCTCCCAACACAAGTTTATACATGATGACACTGATGCCATCATGATTATTAATAACAATTAATAATAATAGCTAATATGTCCCTACTGCGTCAGACTTGTTTAGGGCTTCACATTTATTAACTCATTTAATCCGTTTACCAGCCCTCTGTTTAAGCACTTCTATTATCTTTCTGATTTTATAGATGTGGATAAAGAGGTTAAATAACTTGCTCCAAATCACACAAAAGTGGCAGAGTTGAGAGCTGAACCCAGGCTGCCTGACCCCAGAGCTCACCACCTGAACTCTTTGACCTCTGAGCAGCAAAACAAAAGGTACCCTGCAAGCTGACCTCGTGCAGCACTCATGTCAGGAAGATGGCATTTCTGAATAATGTTAGTTTTTTCATCCATAAGGAATGAAGCATTGTTATTTGGGTAGTCAATACACAAAGTGCGACCCAGGACATAAAGGAGTAAGGCAAGAAGGAATGTCATTCTCCTCTCCCTTGGCACGGCATGCTTATCCCTGCCTAAAAACCATAATAATGGCTAATTTTGGCTAATGATATCCCAAACTTTGGCTGTCTCCTAAAGAATTCGGGTCCTCAGATGAGCATATGTTCTAAAGAAGCAGCAAAGATATCTTATATTTCATTTATTCAGTGGTATAATTTTTTAAAAAGTACTTCCAGAAAGAAAAATAAGGACAAATTATTTCCCTAAACCAGGAGTAAAAGTCCTAGATGAAAGGAATTTAAAAGAAAAGGACCAACATGAAATAAATCTTTCTTAGGTAACTGTGTCTTGAAGAACTGTCCCTTCCAGCATTCCCTAAGGAGCCAAGCATTCTGACAAGGACCCTCTGGTCTAAGTCACCCAGCCTGTGACCCTGACACCACTAAAGAACGCTGAGAACACAGGAAGGGGAACATCTAGCAAGCCTGATGAGTTATCTGCACAATCGGAATACCAAACACTGGAAAAAGAAAGGTTTAGAAAACAAGTCAAGATCCGAGAGGGAAAGTGAAGCTAATTTGGAAAGAAGGGCCCCTATGAAACTGCTTCTCATTCTCGGTGTGATTCCCCCCAAATCTCTCTACATCCAGCCATGTCACCCGTTAACATGGAACAAACACAGGCAAGGCAATACAAGGGCAGAAATTAAACAAAATAAAACGGGTAATGGGGCGTCTCCGCCTCAAAAATACTCCAAGAACTCTCTCCACAATCCCAAGTAACAACAAAATGCAAACAACAATAACAATAAACCCTCGAGACGCACATAACCCAGACTGAGCCCACCTCACGCTGTGCCCGAGTATCCTGTCCAAGGGAAATGTGCCCCCCGCCCAGAAGAAGCCTTCCAGCGTCCGGCCACTGTCCAGCGGCCGCCAGAGTTGAGTTTGCCCAACTCTTACCCAGGTCCCGAGATCTTGAGATTTGCAGCGCAACCTTTTTCCCCCGGTCTTCACCCAACGCCAAACAGGACACAAAATCCGTTCCAAACAGCGCAGTTTGCCTCCAAGCAGCGTCCCAGAAGAAAATGATACTTGGGAGTCTTGGTTTAGGCGCAGAGATGGAGACGCGGGACGGGAGGCAAGTCTGACCGCGTTTCCGGGACCCCAGTTTTGCGCACCGCGAAAGTACTCGTTGCAAACTTGAACAAGGTTTGCCCTGTCTGGCCCGAGATGCTGGAGGAGGAGGGGAGTAATCCGAGCCGGGGCCGGGATGAGAGCAGTTGCCGCTGCTGCAGCTGCTGCCGCCGGGGCAGTGGCCGCTGGGGGGGATGTCGCTTGGCGCCTCGTGCAATCTCTACTACAACCGCAGGATCCTCCGGGCCTGACTCCTGCACCCGGATCGCGGGTCGCCCCTTCCCGGAGCGTCTTCCACTGCTTGGGGGTGACCCCGCCAAAGGCCCGGTCAGGAAGTTGGCAAACCTTGGGGTCACAGCAGGGGATGCACGAGGGGTGGCGAGTCAGTGCCCGCTTTTCGTCCGGACCCACGTTCAAAGCGAGCACCCTCGTCAAAGTCCCCGGGAGGTGTTCGAGACTCTCCACAAGGATTTGGAGGACGGGGGACAGCGCCCGAGCGGCCAACTGGAGTGTCGGGGGGTGCAAGTGCAAATGTGGGGCAGCGGTGTCGGGGGAGCAACTGCAAATGTGGGGCGGAAAGGGGATGAGTGACGAGGTCGTGCCAGAGTGTGCGTTGCAGCAGCAGAGTGTTGGGAAGGTGGGGCGGAGGAGGTGCGGATGGGGTCGGGGTTGAGGGAGCCTGCTTTGCAGAGGCGGGGCGGAGAAAAAACTCCCAGGACCTGCTAGAAAGTGCCCCCAGGCCCTCCAAGAGGCTTCCCACGGCGATTTCTTGGGGAATGGCTCCCTCTGCCGACTCGCCCAGGAGGCCCCGGTAGACTATAACTGAATGTTAAAACCATGAAAAAGGCTTTTCTCCGTTTGTGGGTTGGACAGGACGTGAATTTTGGAATCTGCTTCTCTGACTGTCCGCTTCTCTTTTCCAGACTAAAGAATTTCCCCGCTTCTAGACGACTCCCCCCAAAATACAACCTAATTTCTGGAAAGTACTTTCTTACGTTCAGCTGAGTTCCGCCTCCCCTCCTGCCTCCAAAACAAAAACAAAAACAGGCTTTTAACTCATCCCCATGCCAGATGATCCTCTCCTACCAGGCTACTCTTCCTCACACCAGTGTGAACTCTTTTAGAGAGACTTTAAGTGTACATGCGTCCCAGCCAGTAACAGCACCTGGCAAATAGTCTGTACCACAGTTTATGTTTCAATGAACGGATAAATGGAATGAATGAACATATACGTGTTTGAAGCCCTTCACCATCCTCTTTACTCTCCCCTGAAAACCCACAGGGGAACACGGTGTTTGTTTGCCAGGCATCATTGCCCCTTCTCTGGTAACTACCTCCGTTTTTCTTTGGGGTACCACCCCTGCCACACGTAGTGCAGGCTGGTTGGGAAGGTCAGTCAGGATGGTCCTGCTTTTCCCTGTCCAGGAGTGGACACCTGACCTAAGCTAAGCCTCTCAGGCTCCCCCTACCAGGAATCTGAACTTGATCAGAGTGGCACGAATAAATCTAGAATAAATCACCAATAAATAAAAAAAGACGAATAAATCCAGAGCTCATTGATCCATATGGCTGTTTTCTAAGGAAATTGGCCATTCTAGGACATTTTAGTCATTCTAGTGGGTAAATGGTGATATCTCATTGTGGTTTTACTTTGCATTTCCCTAGTGACTAATGATGGTGACCATCAAAGGTGTTTTCTACCATTTCGTGTGCTGTGTGCCATTTATTCATGTCGCTTATTCCCCAAAGCTATCCCGCTTTATGCTTCATGAAACTTGGTTGCTCTACTTTCCTTTGGATTTTTAATCAACTTTACTGAGACATAATTTACATGTAATATATTGCACTCACAGTAAGTGAACAGTTTGATGAGTTTTGGACAATATATACACCCATGGAAACACTACAATAGTCAAGATAATGACCAATTCCATCACCCTCAGAAAGTTCCCTTGTACCCCTTTGAAATCAGTCTCCCACCCCACCCACATTTGGCCCACAGAGATATAAGTATAGCTTACATTCGTCTTTTCTAGAGTTGTTTTCTATAAGTATAGATTACATTCGTCTTTTCTAGAGTTTCATATGAATGAACTCATATAGCATGTATTCCTTTTTGTCTGGCTTCCCTCACCGAGCATGTTTTTGAAATTCATCAATGTTGTTGCCTGAATCCACAGTCTGTTCCTTTTATTGCTGAGTAGTATCCATTGTATGGGTACATGACAATTTGTTTGCCCATTCACCAAATGGTGATGGTCTTTGGGGTTGTATCCAGTATGGGGTTATTATAAATAAAGCTGCTAGGAACATGCTTGTACAAGTCCTTTTGCGGACATGTGAATCAGTGGAATTACTGGTTTGTACAGTAAGTGTGTTTAACTACATAAAAGACACTGTAGAACTGTTTTTCAAAGGGGTTGCATCATTTTACACTCCCACCATCAACATGTGAGACTTGTTCCACATCTTCACCAAAACTTGGTATTGTCTGTCCTTTTATTTTAGCCATTCTGGTGGGTAAATGGTGATATCTCACTGTAGTTTTAATTTGCATTTCCCTAATGGCTAATCACGATGATCATCAAAGGTATTTTCTATTATTTCATATGCTTGTGTACCACTTGTTGTTTGATGAAGCATCCAAATTCTTTGTCCAATTTTTAACCAGGTTATTTGTATCTTGTTATTGGGTTATAGGTGTTCTTTATATATTTTGAATACTGGGCCTTTGTCAGATAAGTATATGGAAAATATATTCTCCCAGTCTGTTTCTTGCCTTTCAATTTCCTTCTTTTTTTTATTAATATTATTACTTTTTTACATTCTATGATGTTGTGGAGCAGCTGGGAGACAGGGTAGAGGGGAAAGGGGAAGGAAATGGGATGGAAGAAGGAGGAAGAAGAAGGGAGGGATTGAGGCCTTGGCACCCCCTCATTCCCACAGGGGAGACCAGGGGGCTTTCAGTGGTGTCTTGGTCATTTCCAGGCTGGGTGCAGATGTCAGAAGGGTGTGGGAAAGCCCTCACCCCCAACCACCCTAGCTGGGGAACCCAGGGCCCTTCTTGCTGTGGCTTGGTGGTCGACACTGGGCTGGTTGCACATGTGGGGGAGGCGTGGCTGAGGCCCTCGGTACCCCACTGCCCTGGCTCAGGAGAGCCTGGGGCGCTTTCTGCTGCAGCTTGGTGGTCATGGCTGGGCTGGTTGCATGTATTGGGGGTGTGTAGCCAAGGCCCGAAGCCCCCACCCTCAAGGCTGGTTACAGATGTTGGAGGGCATGGCTGAAGCCCCCAGCCCTCCCAACTTTCTGGCTTGGTAGCCCAGGGGACTTCCAGTCCTTCTAGCTGTTATAGGTGTTCTTTGGTGAAGTGAGACCTTTACTAGTTAATATCAAACTTTGTCTCTGGTGTGGGTACTTTGTTTTTTCTTTCAGTTCTGTTTTGGATTATTTGCTGTTCCCACCACTTAAACTCTGCTCTGGAACTAATTTGTTGTCCTCTGCTTACTTCTAAAATGGGGGAACTTCCTATGGGGACCAGTACTTAAGCTCTGTGGTTGAGTTAAATTGCTGCTTTGCTGCTGATTCCCTAGAGAAGGATTTTTGTGCAGCTCAGGTTTTAATGATTGACTTTACAGGTACTTCCGGCTCTTGTGAGATCCGGTACACCTGGGTTGTGAAGAAATTCTGGACTCTGTCTGAGTCTTTTCATCAAACTGCACCCCATGCAATTCTATATTCCTGACTAGTCTCCTCTGAGTGGGCCTGTGCTGATTAAGATGCAGATCAGCTGTCCTTGTTGTGCCCCAGTGTTCCCCTGGTGGGCCCGTCTCCCTCACTGCCCGTGCTCCAAACACTTCCCATGGAGCGGGCCATGCTCCGGTCCCTTACTATGACTCACTGGCCTCTGAGTGGCTCATTTTTTTCAGTTGTCTATGTCTCCTTGCTCCTATATGGGTCCCTATTAATGGTCTTGCTGGTCTGGGGGTCGCCAAGGCCCTCTTGTCTCCTGCCGCCTCCAAGCAACTTCATCCAAAGGGCATAGCTGTGGCTTTTGCCAGCTCCTGCTCCATGCACTCAGCAGCTCCAGCCTGGAAGCTGCTGGGGTTCAAAAGGTTGGAGTGGTGTTTTTCTTTCTCTCATTATGGCTTCTCCCACCTTCACACACTCTGTATGTCTCTCCTCCTCTTCCCCTGGAGCTCTAGCAGCCCCAGCTTGGCTGCCGTTGCTTTTATATAGTCATAAGTTGGCTGATTTGTGGGAGAGAGGGATGCTGCCTACCGTCTGTTCCACCATCTCGACCATAAGTCAAACCACCTTTCAGTTTCTTAATGGTGTCTTTCCAATAGCAGATTTTTAACTTGATGAAGTCCAATTTGTCAAATTTTTATGGGTGTATTTTTTATGTTTATCTAAGTAATCTTTCCTTACCCCAAGGTCATGAAGCTTTTTCTCCTATGGCTTCTTTCAGAAGTTTATATGTTTAGCTATTATAATTAGGTCTATGATCCATTTAGAGTTAATGTTTGTATGAGGTATGAGGTAAAAGCTGAGTTTCATTATTCACATGGATATCCAGTTGTTTCAGCACCATTTGTTGATAAGATTCTCTTTTTCCATTGAATAACCTTGGCACCTTTATTGAAAATAAATTGACCATTTGTGAATGGGTCTATTTCAGGACTAATTATTCCTTTCGTTTGTTCTATATTTCTATTCTTGTGCCAAGATCATACTATCTTGATTACTATAGCTTTATAATAAGACTCCAATTTAAGTATAATGTGTTTTCCAACTTTGCCCTCCTTTTTTTTTTTTTATCAAAATTTATTTAGCGTTTCTATTTTGGGGGGTTTTGTTTTGGTTTTTATCTTCCATATAAACTTCAG